TTATATATATATATATATAAAGACGCACACACATATAAATAGACACACACACATATATATAGACACACACACATATATATATATAGACACACACACATATATATATAGACACACACATATATATAGACACACACACATTTAAGGGTGGGTCAAACACTTTGTTTTTATTAAGTTGGGAAGCTGTAACATGAGCAGAAAGTTGCTCTTTAATATCCAGATTCTAAAAAGTGTAATTTTTTACCAATTGGATAATGTCTGCCACTCCCAACTTTCACTTGAATAAATAACAAATTTTTGTATTGTAAGCCAGAGATTCTTGTAAATATTATACATAGGAACAACTTATTTTGTTATTCAAAAATATAGCAAGATAATGCTATAATAGTACGCCATGATGCTAAAGTTTTTTGTCAATATAACATATTTGAAATGCTATTAAAATTGTGCAGAATAATATTTTTGTGATTGATAGCAAAGTCGATTTCCTTTGCTGTAGTCAAAGGAAATCAGGTTTGCTATCAATCCTAGGTAATTCCAACCGTGACACTTTGCTTTTTATTATAATGTCATGTCTGGTTTTGTGGCCATAAATTTTGAAACTGGCTGCAGTTATATCTTTAATTGTCCTTTTTACAGCTTGTGAATGGCACAGTATATAAGACACTATAATTGGTTGGTCATAAGTAAGTTGCTCTTTAGAAATATGGGACAGCAATGATGGTGATGAAACAGTACATTGTTTTGGATCAATCATTTTAAAGTATGATTTTGCTGCTGAATTCAAAATAATGTTCTTGTCATGTTTGTATTCCATCCCTTGCTACATTTAGACAAGCTTTAATTATTTTATCAACTGCAAGTTTACAAATCATTCGATTGCAAAATATTTTCTGGATGCAGGAAGTAGTAATTGTTTTTCAGTACAAGCAAGATAACCAACTAATCTGCTTTATCCAGTTCCTAGTACAATTGCAAGAAATCAAATAAATTTTTTGGCACCACTTTGACAAGAATCGTTGCACTTAATGCAAAACCATAAAGGACCATAAACATTAATGATAAACCTTGTTATTCTTGTTAAAGCCTTGGAAGAAACATCTTTTGACATACTTAAATCCAAAATGTGGTTGGCTTTTGTTAACCATCTTGAATGATTTAAACATCCTGGTTGACTGCTTTGAAAAAATGGGATATCTAGACTTGATTTAAGACCAACTTGTAGAGCTAAGCATGCCTTTAAGAAATACAAATGATCCCAACTTAGGTCTTTTATAATATTTTCATCAGTATCCCTAATCTTTCCTGACACAGGTAAGAAAATTAGTTATAGGCAACTCTTTGCGATCATAGTCAAGAACTGATGCAATTAAACGGAGGAAAACAAAGGACCTGTAGTAGCTCCACCATCCACTGTTGCAAAGTACTTTCTAAAGGGGAGCTCATTAAAATGTAGCAGGTACACAAGCCATTGTAAGGGCCTTCTCAAACTCTCTTCCAACTTTCTGATGATTCTATTTCTTTTTACGGTATTATTATTATTTGTCTCATCACACTAAAGCTGAAAGGCTTTCTGCTGAATTTGTATCTCTTATAACTGACAGAATCTCTTTTGCAACATCATATGAGTTACTACTATTAGATACAACAATCTTCAGGTAAAGATACAACTACATAATGTTCTTCCTTGACAGTTCTTCGTCACACTGAAGCATTTACCAGCGTCCTGCCTTCCATTAAAACCAATACATAGTGGTTTCTGTCTGTCACCATTATGCTCAACATTAACATTCTTCCTCCAAAAAATCCTTTGATGTCGTAACTTAGCAGGATCAATCACTGTTGCTGAAGAATGTATATTCAGGTCTTTTAAAATTGCATTTACAATAAGGAATGTGTCTTGATTACTAACTTTACAGGGATCAACTGCTTTACATAATTCGTTGTATTTATTCATGTTCTGTACCAAAGAAAAATCATCATTTTTATCACTTGCTGAGTCACTATCAAGTAATTTAAACTTGTTATCTAGTAATTCCATGAAAAATCAGCAGGTTCATGTTACCCCATGTTTTAGATTTTGCTAATTTTTATTAGTAGGGTTTATAAAAATTAGGAAAATCTGAAATTTGGAGCCTCCAACTCCTTGGGGTTCTTGAAATATTCAGGATTTAATTTTCTTATTTATGCTGACAAAATTTTTTGCAAAACACTTTTTTGTTGTTAAATAGCAATATTTTATGAACCAAATGAGGTATCATCTTGAAATCTTCCACATGGGGGATACATATTTCAAATTGAAAATTTTTTTGACCATCTTAATTACATGTAAATTAGTTAATAAAAGCATATATTTTGGGGTATTTCAACAGTCAAAACGGTGATGTCACCTTTTTTGCTTACTTATTTATGACAAAATCAGCTATATCTTAATTTTATGTTGCAAAATGTTATTGTTAAATTTTTTTTGAAAGCAATAATAAATTTATACTTTTTTTATGGGGAGAGGGAGGGGGCAATCAGGCTTTCCTTTTCCTCCCCCTTTCCCTCTACTCTTTCCCTCTCCTCTTTCCCTCTCCTCTTCCCCACTCCCCCTCAAAAAAATTGAATAAATTTAATAGTTGGAAAATTATGGAAAAGTGATCTATTGGATTACAATGTTATGTTATCTGCCACAAGAAAGGTTTAACAAGAAGAGAAGGTCTTTTAGATATATCAATATTTTTAAGTGATGAAAAACAAGGAGATATTATGGAGAGCTAGTTTATTTGAAATGAAGAGCTGGTTTATTAGAAATGCTGTAATCTATTTAAAAAACATGGATATCAAAAGAAAAGTACAAAAGGCAATATTGATATTATTTTGATTATTCAAATTGTAATTAAATAAACTATAGAAATAATAAAAAAAATAAATACTTTTTTAAGAAGAAAATTTAAATTTTTTTCATAAATTAAAAGTTTATTTGTTTTATAAATTAATAA